TGTGTGCCTGGGTGTGCGTGTTGCGTGTGCGTGTGTGCTGTGCGAGTGTGTGATGTGTGCTGTGTGTGTGTTACCAAGAAGAACATCATGTTAATTTCGTTTTCTTTATCCTTGCTTATTCTCATTCTGTCTCTGTATTTCTCTCTCTCTCTCTCTCACTTCTTTCTCTTTCTCTGTCTGCCCTCTCTTCTCTCTCTCTCTCTCCTCTCTCTCTCTCCTCTCTCTCTCTCTCTCTCTCTCTTCTCTCTCTTTCTCTCTCTCTCCTCTCTCTCTCTCTCCCTTCACCTCCCTCCCTCTCTCTCTCTCTCTCTCTCTCTCTCTCTCTCTCTCTCTCTCTCTCTCTCTCTCTCTCTCTCTCTCGCGGAAGTTAAAGTGTATATTCGTGTTTATGTTGTAGTTTACGTCACTCTGCTCTCCGCGCGCCTCTTGCCACCTGCTGGTCTCCATGGCAACATCTCCCAAGTCAGAGACGCCAAGACTTCCGTATCTGTCCCCTACCCCCTCCTCTTCCACCCCCTCCCCCTCTCTACCTCTCTCTCTGTTCACTACTTAATCTATCCCTCCCTCTCTCTCTTCGTTTCGCACTCTCCTCTCTTTGTATCTTTGTTTTTAATTCTCTTTCTTTTGTTCTCTCCTTTCTCTCTGTTTATTAGCTTTTGCCATTCTTCTCCCCTTCCCTTTCTCCTCTATCCCTTTCTCCTACTTACTCTTCTCTGCTTCTTTATACTTTGCTCTCATTCCTCTCCTTTCTCTCTTTCTTCCTCTTTTCCTTCTCATTCTCTTCTCCTCTTCCCCTTCCTTCTCTCCTTACTCCACTCCACTTATCGCCCCCTCCTCTACTTTACCCTTTCCCTCCTTCTCCTTTCCTCCTTCACTCCCCCTTTTCTCACTCCCCCCTCCACTTTTACTTCCCTTTCCCCTTTCTCCTTCCTCCTTCATCTTTTCCCGTCATACTCCTCCTCTCTTACCCTCACTTCTCCTCTCTTCCTTTCACTCCCCTCTACTATTCTCCTTACCTACCTCCATCCCCTCCTTTACTTCCCTTTCCTCCTTCTCATTCCCCTTCTCTCTCCCTACCTCCCCTCCTACCCTTTTCTCTCCCCCTACCTCCCCACAAACCCCTTCTTCCCCGTTCCCTGTTCTCTCACACCTCCTCACCTCCTATCTCTCCCCCCACCACACTCACACCTTAGTGAAGAATTGGGAGTGAAGAATTGTGAAAAAAAAGAAAAATGAAAGAAAGGAATTGCGAAAAAAATAGGAAAGAAAGAAGGCATCAAGTCATATCAAAAATAGAACGACAAAGAATAAAAAATTAAGATTGCCAGAGCGACAGAAGAGAGAGAGAGAAAAAATAAACACGAGAGAACGAAACGAAAGAAAGAAAGAAAAAAAGATAAAAAACAAACAACAAATAAAGAATATCACTAATTAATCTTCACAAAAGATCCCCCAAAAAGAAAAGAAAAGAAAAGGAAAAAAAACCAAAGAGAGAGAGAGAGAGAAAAAAAAAAAACAAGAGAGAAATAACCCACCTAGCGTCTTTACCAGAAAGATATAATATCGACTATCGACTTCCAGGTGTCAGCTGTCACTCACCTGTTATTGGCATTTCTCGGCGGGGGGTTCCTCGTGTTTCTCAAGCTTAACCTAAATAACGGCGGGCTTGTATATCAAAAGAGGGTCAGAGCTGTCGATATATGTATTTTTTTATTAGGGGAGGGGGGAAGGGTTTTTCTTTGGTGTGTATTTAGGGGGCTGTTTTTTCGGGGGGGAGAAGGGGGGGGTGTTTCTTTGGGGGGGGGGGGGTGAGGGGGAAGGGGAGTTTGTGTGTAGGGGAGGGGGAGGGAAAGGGGACACTTTCTCTGCCTGATTCTGTTTGTTTGTTTGTCTTCTTTCTGTTAGTTTTTGTTTCTCTCTCTCTCTCTTCTCTCTCTCCTTTCTCTCCCTCTCTCCTTTCTCTTTCTTCCCCATCTCTCTCTCTTCTCTCTCTCTCTCTCTCTCTCTCTCTCTCTCTCTCCTCTCTCTCTCTCTCTCTCTCTCTCTCTCTCTCTCTCTCTCTCTCTCTCTCTCTCTCATGTAGGTACAGGGACGTAACTTTTCTGGGTGCAGGAGGTGACTCACCTCCCGCCCCAATCGTGAAAAAACACTACTTTCAAGACAAAACAGAAAAATGCTCCTTTTTGCATGGCAGATAAAACGTCAAATGTCAAAACAAAACTTTATAAAGTTAATAACTTTATAAAGTTTTTGTTTTAAAAACACTGTTAAATAGGTCATGAATATGGAAATTTGGACCTTGATTTGATAAAATAACTTACAGGGCAAATATGTTCCAGTAGGGCAATTTTTTTATAAACCCCAAATGCTGTTATGAAGTGACTTCCCTGTGTGTATGTGTAAAACATATATATATATGTATACTATATATATATATATATATATATTATTATATATATATATATGTATATATATATATAATATATATATATATATATAT